ACTACAGGCCTCGGGCTAGATCTGCTCTCTATCGTAACCTCTCCTCTCTCTCCTATCCCACCCGCTCCTCACACGTCCAGCACCTCGTCACAGGAGGTCTCTGGAACTGCCAGTCAGCGACTCGCAAGGCCGACTTCATCTCCGGCTTTGCTATCCAGCAGTCACTCGACTTCCTCGCTCTGACCGAGACCTGGATCACACCCGAGAACACATCCACCCCAGCCGCTCTCTCCTCCGCCTTCTCCTTCAGCCACACTCCCAGGCCCACTGGTAGGGGTGGTGGCACAGGTCTACTCATTTCACCCAAATGGAGCTTTTCTCTCTACCCTCTACCACCAGCCACCCCATTGTCCTTTGAATTCCATGCTGTAACAATCACTCACCCGGTACAATTAACCATCATTGTCCTCTACCGTCCGCCAGGCTCCTTAGGTCATTTTTTGGAAGAACTGGACATTCTCCTGTCTAATTTCCCCGAAAATGGTCCTCCGGTCATCCTCCTGGGTGACTTCAACATCCAGACAGAGAAGTCATCTGACCTCGTACACCTACTTTCTTCCTTCGCTCTGTCACTCACTCCCTCTCCTCCTACTCACAAAGCCGGCAATCACCTTGACTACATCTTTACTAGAAACTGCTCTACCACTAACCTCTCTGTAACTCCACTTCATGTGTCTGATCACTTCTTCATCTCTTACTCCCTTCCACTCTCTATAACTAACAAACCTCCCTCATGGACTAACTCTATACCGGCCCGTCGCAATATTCGCTCCCTCTCTCCCTCCTCGCTGGCATCCTCTGTTCTATCAGCTCTCCCTTCAACTGACTCCTTCTCACTCTTGCATCCGAACGCTGCTGCAGAGACTCTCCTCTCAACTCTTTCCTCCTCTCTAGACTCTCTCTGCCCTCTTACGACACGACGGACTGGCAAATCCCCTCCGGCTCCGTGGCTGTCTCAACCGGTCCGTGCCATGAGAGCCAGCATGCGAGCGTCGGAAAGGAGATGGCGTAAATATAAACGACCTGACGACCTGCTTGAATTTCAATCTCTCCTCTCCTCGTTCTCTGCCTCTATCTCTGCTGCCAAAAGCTCTTTCTACCAGTCCAAAATCGAATCCTCATTCTCTAACCCCAAAAAACTCTTCTCGATCTTCTCCAATCTCCTCGAACCCCCTACCCCTCCTCCCCCCTCCACCCTTCTTCCGGGAGACTTTGTCAACTACTTCACCAAGAAAATAGCTGACATACGCTCCTCCTTCTCAAACCCACCACCTACTTCTCGCGTCCCACCGACCTCACCTCTTTCGCCCTCACTTCCCTCTTTCACCGCCCTCTCTCCTAACCAAATTCTTACCCTAGTAACCTCTGCCCGTCCGACCACCTGCCCTCTTGACCCCATTCCATCACATCTTCTACAATCTATCGCACCTGACCTTCTTCCGTTCCTTACCCTTCTCATCAACAACGCTCTGTCATCTGGCTGTTTTCCCAATTCTCTGAAGGAGGCAAGAGTCAACCCTCTCCTGAAGAAACCCACCCTCAACCCTTCTGAAGAAAACAACTACAGACCGGTCTCTCTTCTTCCCTTCTTGTCCAAAACCCTTGAACGTGCTATCTTTAATCAACTCTCCTCTTATCTCCACTGTAACAACCTCCTTGACCCCCACCAGTCAGGTTTCAAGGCAGGCCACTCCACAGAGACTGCTCTCCTTGCTGTCTCTGAGCAACTCCACACTGCTAGAGCCGCCTCTCTCTCCTCTGTCCTCATCCTTCTGGACCTCTCTGCTGCATTTGACACGGTCAACCACCAGATCCTTATTTCCTCCCTTCAGGAACTTGGTGTCACAGGCTCTGCTCTCTCCCTTCTCTCGTCCTACCTCGATGGCCGCACCTACCGGGTAACCTGGCGAGGATCTGTGTCGGAACCGTGTCCTCTTACTACTGGAGTTCCTCAGGGTTCCGTGCTGGGTCCCCTCCTGTTTTCGCTTTACACCAACTCTCTTGGCGCTGTCATTCGCTCGCATGGCTTCTCTTACCACAGCTATGCCGATGACACCCAACTAATTCTCTCCTTCCCTCACTCGGACACCCAGGTGGCGGCTCGGATCTCTGCCTGTCTAACTGACATCTCTCAGTGGATGTCCGCCCACCATCTGAAAATCAACCCCGACAAGACTGAACTACTTCTCTTTCCCGGAAAAGATTCGCTTACCCAGGACCTGACAGTCAACTTTGGAAACTCTGTGCTAACGCCCACTTCGACTGCTAAGAACCTCGGCGTCACACTCGACAGCCAACTCTCCCTGACTCCCAACATCACTGCGACAACGCGATCCTGTAGATACACGCTCTACAACATCAGGAGAATACGTCCCCTTCTCACTCAGAAGGCAGCGCAGGTACTGATTCAGGCTCTTGTCATCTCCCGCCTGGACTACTGCAACTCCCTCCTGGCAGGTCTCCCTGCCACCGCCATTCGACCTCTGCAGCTCATTCAGAATGCAGCAGCCCGACTGGTCTTCAACCTTCCGAAATTCTCCCACACTACTCCACTCCTCCGCTCTCTTCACTGGCTACCGGTGGCCGCCCGCATCCAGTTCAAAACACTGGTGCTCACGTACCATGCTGTGAATGGATCGGGTCCAGCTTACATCCAGGACATGGTCAAACCCTACATCCCAACCCGCACTCTCCGCTCTGCATCTACAAAACTACTCGTCCCTCCCTCACTGAGAGCAAAACACTCGACTAGGTCTCGACTCTTCGCTGTCCTTGCGCCGAAATGGTGGAACGCGCTCTCTGAAGACATCAGGACCGCAGAGAGCCTTCACATCTTCCGCCGCAAACTAAAGACACACCTCTTCAGACTCTACCTCGACTAAAGACTAACAAATTGTAGCACTTAAATTGTACTTGTAACGTCACTCATCTATAGCAAATTGTAAATTGGCTTATTTGAGGAAATTGCACTTGTTTCTTGTTCTCCTGAGTTTGTACCCTATGGTTGAATGCACTTATTGTACGTCGCTTTGGATAAAAGCGTCAGCTAAATGACATGTAATGTAATGTAATCAGTTTCATCGCCTCACTGGCTTTCCGACCCAGCAGAGGCACTGCACCGTCTGTGTTCACCACTTGGAACTCCAAGCGATACTGTTTGTGATGTCTTGGATTTCAATGGATTTTAATGTTACATTTCCCCACTGGCTTCAGCTTGCTTTTGTTGTACATAACTAGTACACTTTTAGTGTGTTCTAGCTCGGTGTCTGGATTCAGCAGGTTAATGGGGATGATGTTGCAACTAGCACCACAGTATTTGGAATCTGACCATGTCTTTGCCTAGTAGCACACCAGCATAGAGAAGCTGAGTGTCCTCTTTAACAGTGTTGTTATCTTTCACATCCTGTTCTCTCTCTGGGTCTTCATCTTTGCCCAAGTCTGTCTCCACTGCATCCACTATCTCAATGTCTGTCACAGTGATACATGTTATATCTTCATATTCATCACTCACATATTCTGTTGCTATTGTACTCACATTTTTCTTCCTCCTTTGGTCTGGTTTAGCTTCACATTTGGCTGCAAAGTGGTTCTCTCTGCCACACTTTGCACACTTCTTTCCGAACGCCGGACATTTCTGTTTGGTCCTTTCATGTGTTCTTCCGCAGAATTTACACTCCACTGTGTTGTTACCTGTTACGCCCCAGTCTAGGGGTGCCTAAGGTGCAACATGGATAGGCCCCAATCTTCCCCGTCTCCCAAGTAGCCACACACACTTTGCATTTATATAGGGGATATTTATTGAAAAAAAAGAGCTGGGTTGAGTAAACCCGGTATGTTGGGGTAAAAACAAACCACGGCTTCGCCGTTGCCCATCCCCAATATAACAAACAAACCAAAAAAACGATCCTAGCTAAAAATAAGACACTGACCTACCAAAACAAAGGAGAAAAATAATGACATCAGTCTTACCTACCTATCTACTTAAAAACAGGAGAAAACCAACTCAAAAGAAAACATCAAACAACATTTTCTCTCATGATCGTGTTGTTACCACCACGCACAATCCTATCACGAATGAGCGAGTCTCTCAAAGTCCCAACGTTGCATGTTTTGGCCAGCAGTCTCCGTTCAGTGACATAACTGTCCATATTTTCACTGGCGCCCTGATTTCTCGTGAAGAAACAATAGCGTTCGACAGCTGGAGCCCAAACACAACGTCTGTGGCGGCTTAAGTCCCTCCATGGAATCACACGGCAGTCGCGCGCTAGCGGCTCAACCTAGCAGCGGTTAACTCTCTTCAGATCGGAGAAAACTAGTACGCACTCAGAATGAGTCCTCTTCCGGTGCCACCATGTTATAACGCGGTACTTAATCACAAAAACGAGCACACTCTTCCAGGTCTCACCTCACTGGGTTGTAAACTTTAATAAACTTCCACGTCGCGTGTACGATCCATCTTGCTCGGTCCGGTTACAAGACAGTGTTTTCCCAATAACAGTCCGTGTGACTCACGGAACTAAAATATGGTTCCTACCTATAGTTCCTATTGTTACAAGTACGAGGTAACACAATATGATTGATTTGATATTAATCAACTGTATTATCTATCATAATTATTCATTATCAGGTAATTCACAATGCTATAATAAGTTCCACAGTTTGTTAGTACAGAAGTGAATTGTTTAAAAGTTTCGGATTTGCCTCCATTTCCTATGTTATTTGAATAATGAGCAGGCGTGGTTGTATGGTACTTTGCCAGCAGGGGGCGATAATGCCAAAGGAATAAAACTCTCCCTGATTAAGTTTCAGGATCATTCATTAGATTCGTGTAAATCTACTACGGCTTTGTAAATCTACTTTGTAGGTGAACAAAATAATCCATATAAAATGTCTACGATTTAAAAAACAAATAAACTTTAGAGAGATATCACAACAGGTTTGATAAACACCATTAAATATTTTACATTAACAACCATCTAAAGTTGCGAAAGTGCTTTTTCTGTCACGGCGCTGAAGACACGAACAACTGAAGCGGTCAGCTGACTGAATCTGCAGGGCCACTAAAGCAGACAAACGCCACATTTATTCTTTCTCAGGTAAAACCTTCGCTTATAACATATTTAAATCAAAGGACGATGCTCAGCTAGACGTGTTCACCTTTGCTAGTAACAGTTTAAACATGTATTTATAAAAAAAACAATCCCGAAATCAGTGTGTTTCCTGCTCTGTTCGGGAACACCGTTTTGCCTTCTGGTTTCCTTACTTATTCCACGTGACAGTGAGAATGATGGTCGATGACGTTCTTCCCTTCCCATGAGACTCTCACGCTTCATCTATTCACCTTTTATCAGACGCAAGAATGAAGAAGAACAAATGCAAAGCGAGCAGCACAGCGGAGAAGGAGTTCGTGTTTGAGTTCAGGGCGGGGAAACACAGTTGTGTCCTCAAAGCGCCTCTGCAGTTTCCTGCTCAAGAGAACATCTGTGACCTCCACGGACGCCTGATCCTGCTGCATACAATACCCTGTTACATAGAGAACGGTGAGTGACCCCCCTCCTGCCCCCAGCTGGACCTTTGGCATTTCTCAGGCAAATCCTGAATTGGCTTCTTAAGCTGGATTTCTGCCTATCATTGCAATTCTGATGTTAATATCAGCCGAGCGCGAGCATTGTGGAAACTTGTCAGAAAATGTTTGCGGTCTTGCAGAAAGGTCCCCGTCCGTCGTTCTAACATCTCTTTATTTCTCACAACCTTCTCTGACAAAACCGACTAGCATTGGACAGAACTGTCACAAAATGACGACAAATGGTATTTCAAGTGTTGATTTAAATTCTCTAAAGCTAAACAGTCGAATTCTGGTTATTAAAGATGAATCTATTTAAGCAATATTTCCCTGCATGTCTTCATGGGGATTAAGAGTTATTGTCAAAATGCAAGCTGTTATTTGAAGCAATCTCATGCAATGGGGCCATTTTAACACTTTGCTTGCACAGTAACTAGAACATTGAAATTATGTTTTTTCGCTGTGTTTTCACCTCCTCCTTTAGAGCTAAAAACTTCCCTTTCCAACTTTGTTGAGAGTGAGACCATCCTGGATTATGACAGCGAGGCAGAGCTGGCCCTGCAAAGACTCACAGTGGGGGATGTAGATGTGAACCAGCTCACCAACGCGTGGACCAGGTCTTATGTGGAGGTAACTACATATTTCAGCATGTTTATTGTGCATAACAACTAAAATGCATTGCCTTCTTATCCTATCAGTATTTGCTGGACTGGCTGTTGACAGATTCACGGTCATGGTGCATTTTCTTGGATTGATTTTGATTTGTTAAAGCCACTCATCACCACTTTCTTTTACTTTTATGAGCTGATTGTTTCCCTCTAGTGGTACACAAGGTTGTTGCTTTTGTATACTACAAAATATCAGACTTTATTGGTAATATACATATATATATATATATATACAATATGTTTTTTATATACTGAGTGAAATAGATGCACTACTTTTTAGTAATTTCAAAAGAAGTAGTGCCGTTCATCTGCATCGATTATTCATCGAGTTTTTGAGAAAAAAACACAATCTTATTTCAAAAGCCGGCATGTGAATGTAATGTCTCTTCCATGCACTTGGCTAAACTTTGATTATGTTGCATCGGGTTGCACATCCTTGAGAGAAGGATCGTCACTTTATGTCAACGATCAATAGCAAACCGTCGGGTGACACGTTGAAGTAGACTTTGTAGTTCCAATGAGTACACTAAGAACAAACCTCTCACCCACACATTTCTTACATGATAAACGTCTCTTATTACTTAAGTCTTGGGTATTTGTAGAAAGACGAGGGCCGCCTCAGCGCCTGCTGCTCTTGCACATCTATCAGTTTACCAGGGCCCGTCATGTGTGAGTCTGTATAAATAAGGGAGTTTCACATTCTGATACTGTTCGGTCTCTGCTTCTCACTGGCCACTTTTAAGTGCAGCAGATTCGTTTTTTCTAAAGGGCAACTCTCTTTGTGCGCTCTGTCTCAGACGACGCTGGAGCATGCACGGCCCGAAGAGCCCAGCTGGGACGAGGACTTTGCCGACGTCTACCACGAGCTGATCCACTCGCCCGCCTCGGATACGCTTCTCAATCTGGAGCACAACTACTTTGTCAGCATCTCCGAGCTCATCAGCGAGAGGGATATGGAGATTAAGAAGCTCCAAGAGAGGTGGGTGTTTGTCTTTGTGAATTAGACCCTCGTAGGTGCTGAAGCTCTTCTCACCTTCTGTATGTTCAGCTTGCTCTCATTAAATACATGAATTAATCCATTCAAATTCAAGGTTGCATTGCTTGAAAATAGGTATAACTTGATGGGGTGAATATCTCAGAGGGCTCTGTAGATAAAGATGTATTTCCCGATCACTCTAATCAAATAAGCAGGCATGAAAATCCCTCACCTTTCGGCGAAGTTCGCCGTTTTGAAACCAGAACAGGTGACCTACGTGAATCGTGTAGATTCGATGATTTTTTTTGGGGGGTGGCGGGGTGTATTCATATTCAGTGAACTGCGAACAGGTGCGCGTGTCAGAAGGGAGCGCGAGATTCAGTGAATTGCGAACAGGGTAAGTGATGGTTTAAATATTTTCTGGTATATCTAAGTTAAGTTACCCAGGAGCTTTGTTGACATAGACTTAGCTAACGTTAGCTACAGGTTGATGAATTGAGTCATTTAACACAGCAGGAGAGAACGCGGCGTTGGCCAGCTAGCTAAAGCTCCGGTGGAATATGATTAGCTAACGCTAGCGTTTTTGAGGAGGTAGATTTTGAGGTGAGGGGACTGACAAGGTAAAGTGGTCCACCGTTCTATCAATAAGCAGACCTGCCAACCTGATACGCATTTTGACTTCAAAGTACGCTGGTACGATTTGTCACTCTAAACTACGCAAGAATTTGTCTAAAATTAATTTTAGACTAGTTGACCAGCGCACACTATATGCAATGCAATATAATGCATGACGAGTATTTAATAAGTATTTAATGTATTAAATACTATTTATTTAGTATTTAATGACTTGTCCGCTATTAGTTGGACAAGTCATTGCAAAAATGATCCCTGGGACAAAACCAGTTGGGAAATGTCCCAAATATAGGGAAATGTATATTTTTCCTTGTCTGACAGGCAAGCCGTTGAAATGGACAAAGTGATGCACGAGCTGGGAAATACTTTGAGTGACCACGATGTAAACGCAGTCGCCTCTCAACACTTTGATGCACAGCAGGTAAAAAAGTGTTAATAGCAGGTGCCCTTTGATCCAAGTACCCAGTTATCATTTGACCGCAGACATTTCAGGGGGTTGTGGTGGAAGATTTTGCACAGACAATCGTTAAGTAAGAATCAAAGGCTCTGAGTCAAGTATGTCTTTTCTCCGTTTATTTCCTTGCAAGGGAAAAAAGGGTCACAACAGCTACGTGGTCAGTAGACTGTCAAGAACCTCCTTTTCTTCCCAACACATCGAGGCAGTTCTTATACCTAAACTTAGATATCGGTGGCGTCAACAGAAACCGTTAACCATCTTGTTGAGTCTCTACAGCCAGGGTACTGGGAACACCTTGTCAATGTGAGACACATCAGTTCTTTGACCGTGTCCTTGCTCTCCCAACATGCTTAAACAAAGGTGGTCATAGACATAACAAACACTTTGTTCAATCTCTACAGCTATGACGCTGGAAACATCTAATCCAAGTGGGAGACATCAGTTTGTATGTCAGGGCCTTTGTGACCTAAGCACTTGCAACTAATAAACTGGTTATACAAATGAAGCATTTAAAAGGGTCACATATCATTTTCCCATTACATTCCACTCTTTTGATTACATAATAATCACAAACTATGCAATCAATTTAGAATGACTACTCTAAAAATTCACTAGCTGATATCTACCACATCAAATATCACAAAACATGAACATCTGGACATCGCTCACAAAACTTTTCCTGCCACAGAACAAAAACTCCCTAAAAAAACCCTCCGAAATGGGAAAATAGGAAGAAATCTGTTAGGAGAAGATAAAGACTGGAAACCTTCTCACAGGATTTGAGCGTTACACCCCAGATGTCATGTGTACAGTATTGAAATAAAAAAGGAAGGAAAACATGTTTAAATCACAATACCAGAACTTGATCCCTTTTCACACAATACAGATATAGAATATTGTGGAAAGGTCATTATATCAATCATATTTACGTTACATACTAATAAATGCAAGAGTAAAAGCTGTTTTTGTGAGAATGTTATTTCTCATTGTTTTAGCAAGCTACTGTGAAACCAAAAACATTTAGAACACCAGGAATGCACACAGACAGTGTGTCACTATGTCACTATGCGTATGTGTCGAGGTCGTAAGTGTTCAGCTCGTCAAGGGAGTCCGAGTCACTGTTGGGGTTATCGTCAGAGTCGTTCCATGATAAGAGAGAACCACACTTTAGATAGCTGACTACGGAATCACAAAAAGATGCTGAGATTCAATGAAACTGAAGCAAGCAATAATATGAATAAACTGTCGTGGCACAAACGACTACTGTGTCTATGTGGAGGGGTCCTGGCCGTGTTCTTCTTCTTGTGTTGGTCCGCAGGTACACGTTGGGATGTGGAGTCTGCCAACCTTCTTTCTTGTGAGGCATCCGCGTTGTAGACAGTCAACACAGATCACAATGCACTGTGTGTCTGTCGGTCAACTGTCCGTCCGTGGTCACTGGATCGGTGGTGTCGGTTGATTGACACTTTTTGTGGGGGTAGGGTCGCCTGAGCCCACTGCTGGTACTGGATCTGGAACCTTCTTGCAATGGGATGCGTGGACCCAAGTTGCTCTTTCAGCTACCTTGACCGCTGTTTGGGTGACCAGGAGAATCTGGAATGGACCCTGCCACCGTTTAGCTTTCCAACTTTTCCTCCTGAAGTCCTTCACCAGCACAAAGTCACCTGGTTGCAGTCGGTGTAGTGGACCCGTTGCTTCTCTTGGAAGTGCAGCTACAACCTGTTTTCTTACATCAGACAAAGTGGAAGACAGTCGAATGCAATAGGTTAACATGTCATTCTCGCACATTGTGGTGGAAGGGAGTGGTGTTCCTGGAGCTTCCACACCTATATGGGGAGGAACTGCGAAAAGGATTTCAAATGGGCTTAGGTTGCTGCGTGTTTGTTTCCTCATCCGCATGTACATCAGAACCAATGGCAGTGCTTTTGTCCACGGTAGACCTGTGTCTGTGCAACATTTGGCCAGTTTTGTTTTCAATGTTCCATTTTCTCTCTCTACCGCTCCCCCACTAGCTGGATGGTATGCGCAGTGTGTTTTTAAGTCAATACCCAGGTATGCACTTAATTCTGTGATTGCTTGGTTGACAAAATGTGAACCATTGTCGCTAGAAATTTTGCTTGGGATTCCCCAGCGGGAAATGATCTCTGAAATCAAGGCTTTAGCCACTGTGGAGGCTGTCTGCTTACTGGAGGGAAACACCTCAACCCATTTGGACCACATGTCTACCATTACAAGACAGTGTTTCTTACCTTCCGATGGGGAGAGTTCCACAAAATCCATCATTACATGTTCAAATGGTCTTGCAGGCGGTGGATGTGCTGCATGATGTGACACCTGTACTGAACGACCTACATTGTGAGTTGCAAATGTTATGCATGCTTGGCAGAACCTTTGTGCGTAAGCTGCAAAACCTTTTGTGAACCATGTTGCATCAATGATACTTAACATTCCCCCTTTTGACACATGGTCTAACCCATGAGTCAATTTCGCATATTGAGGGAAGAAATGTTTAGGTAAGCATGGATTACCATTCGGACCATACCAGATGCCGTCTATGAATTTGGAGCCTGAGGAGGACCAAAAACGTCTCTCATCTGAAGTAGAGAGGGACTGCACGGCTGCAAGAGAGGAGGGAAGAGAACACATGGCCGGAACTGGGCGTGATGGTTTGGGAAAAGGACGTCTAGCAGCCGCTTTTGCAGCTAAGTCCGCTCGCTCATTCCCCTTTGCGATGTCGCCTGTGCCGGATGTGTGCGCTGCACATTTACAAACGGCAATAGCTGTGGGCAACAAAATGGCATCCAATAGTTCTGCTATCAGAGTGTGGTGTAACACTGGTTTGCCATCCACAGAAAATTTCTGTGTCTCCACAGCGCGCCGAAATCATGAACCACGCCAAAAGCGCATCTGGAATCAGTGTGAATGGTTGTCGTTTTATCCTTAGCTAGTTTACAAGCTTCTGTTAGCGCGATTAATTCTGCTGCTTGGGCTGAGAGGTGACATGGAAGAGGGCCGGAACACAGAACAGCTGAGTTTGAAACAACAGAGAAGATTAGAACCAGTCAGGGGATCCCGTGAAGCAGATCCGTCAACATACATTACCATGTCACTGTTGAGCAGAGGTGTATCTGCGAGGTCTGGTTGAGGTGTGCACTGAGCTTCCAGCTCAGCCAAACAATTATGCTCCTCTCCATCCTCCGGAGTGGGGAGAAGAGATGCAGGATTGAGGACATTGCAGCGTTTTACTGTAACATTCGGCATGTCTAGGAGACATGTGTGATATCGAAGGTAACGCGCTGCAGATAAATGAGACGACTTCTGTTCGAGAAGAATCAGTGAAACCGAATGTGGAACCAATAATGTTAGCGTAGCATAGCCTACAATGTCACGAGAGGCTGTAAGTGCCTTTTCAGCAGCTGCCACAGCTCGAAGGCACTGTGGTAAGCCTGCTGCTACCGGATCAAGTTTCGCAGAGAAATAAGCTACTGGTCGTAGTTTATCGCCATGGGATTGTAGGAGCACTGATGTCATACATCCAGAACGTTCATCAACGGTTTGTGTGAACGGTTTGTGAGGATCAGGAAGACCCAAAGTCGGAGGAACTTGTAACGCGCATTTCATGTCCGTGAAAGCTTGAGAGGCTGCAGGGAGCCACTGAATTTTATCATGCGCGCTGAGATTTTTTCCATGTATCAATGAGGTTGCTCGTTCCTCTGAGGAACAGAGGTTGCTCGAGTTGGGAGTAATTTGGAATAAATGACCTACAGTAGGAACACATTCCCAAAAATGACATCATCTGTTTCTTGGTTTGTGGTTTTGGAAGTGTTACAATTGAGGCGATGCGTTTTGGTGATAGTGTCTTCCCTTCACCGGAAATGTTATGGCCTAGGAAATGAACGTTTTGTGAAACAAACTGTAGTTTGGATAGGCTGGCCTTGTGTCCTTCCGCTGCTAAGTGTTGAAGCAATTTGAGTGTGTCCTGTTCACACTGCTTTTGTGTTGGAGCTGCAATTAAACAGTCATCAACATACTGCAAAAGAGCTGTTCCTGGAGACAAAGTGAGGCTCTCCAAACTTTCCCTGAGTGCCTCGTTGTAGATCGTAGGTGATTCTGTGTAGCCCTGACACAAGCGTGTGAAAGTGTAAGGCTTGCCATTGAAATTAAACGCAAACCAAAACTGACTGTCAATGTCCACAGGGACACTGAAAAAAGCATTTGAGAGGTCAACCACGGAGAACCATCGAGCATCAGGTGGAACCTGTGCCATAATGGTGTAAGGGTTGGGAACATTTGGGGCTCGTGCGTGGACGGCTGCATTAACTGCTTTTAGGTCCTGCACGAAGCGCCACTCAGTTGGTTTGCCTGCATCTGTGATCTTTTTAACTGGAAAAATAGGTGTTCTTACCGGCGAGTCAGGACATGGAACAATGACTCCGGCCTTTAAGAGGGAGTTGAACACCGGTGTTATACCGTCAATGGCCTCTTGGCGCAGTGGGTATTGATGTTTGTGGGGACGGAAGTCTGATCGAGGAGTGATGACCACAGGTTGACATTTTTTGATGAGTCCCACGTCATATTTATGCGCTGCCCACAAGGTGTCTGGAACAGAACTGAGGGCAGGAGAAATAGAGGAGACATTAGTCAAAAATGTATCAGTGTGTGTGTCAGAAAATATGTTATTTTCATCCATGACATAAACAGATCTGAGAGCAGGTGTGCAAAATGCGAATGGCTGTTTAAAGAAGCCTGTCGACGGAGAGCACATCACAAGTGGATCTGGTGTAGCCTCCCAATCTGCCAATGCCTCGCACGCTGCGACAAAGGGTCCCAAATCTCTCCATTGGTCTGTTGCTGCTTTAGACAAGGAGATGTGTGGGAAAGAAGAGTCCACATTAAAGAGGTGCTGCTGAGAGGGGGTGAGAGAAACGGAAACAGCACATTTAAGTGTGGACCAAAACAATGTCATACATGCAATTTGATCATTCAGATCCTGTAGAAATAATGCATCATATTGCTTATCTGGCCCATGTGACACATGAGCTGTGCAGTGGAGATATGAAGCATCCATGCACTCTGCCTCAGGCTGGACGCGTGATGCTGCCAGGTGGGACAGTTCTGATTGTGAGTCAACCGGAAGCCACCACTGGTACACAAACATTGGATCACTCATAACTGTATTTGCCATCTGGTCAATGGCTCTGCATCTCACCACTTGCAACCCTGTAGGAGTGGAGATGAGGCTAATGCCGAAAGAACACATGAGGTCTCTGCCCATTAGATTAATGGGACAGCAAGAGGACAGCAAAAAGGAATGTTTTACTGTGATGTCTGGTTCAGGGTCAGTTGAGTCAGTGTGTGTACTGGTCATAGGTGCCGTAAATCTCTCTACAATAGTCATCCCTGAAGCTCCTTGTGAGAAAACCTGTTTTCCACTAAGTTTCTGACCTGGAAAATACTTCTGTTGTATTACAGAATGTGTAGCCCCCGAATCAACCAAAAACGATAAAAGTTTCCCTTGAATTTGCACCATAGTGGTGGGCATATTTTCAAATGATTTTCCTGAAAACTTTGCGTATGTGTGTTTAAGTGAAAGCTTTTGTTGTGTTCTCAATTGCTCTGTGATGTCCACGAGAGCTTGTTGTTGCTCTGGTGTGTGTGTGTGAGTGTGTGTGTGTGTGTGTGTGAGTGTGAGTGTGAGTGTGCGTGTGCGTGCAGGGAGTTAGTGCAGAAAGCGTTTCTTCATTGCAGGCTGCGGTGTGTGTGTGTTTTACTTCCCTTATCATGTGAGGCCTCAGCATGGTTGCCGTCTCCCCCTCACATGCAGCCTCCTCCCCCTCCGCCTCACGTCAATCGGAATGTGCGTTGCCACCCCTTCCTCGTCTGGCCAGTCCACGCCCCCATCCTCTACGAGGTGCATTTTGTGGACATTCTCTGTGCCAATGTCCCTGTTCGCCACAGCGGAAACACGTATCATAGTCATTGGGTGGAGACAGCTGTGATCCCTCCTGGTTCCAGGAGGAGCGTCCCCTCGTCATATCCCGACCACGCCCCCTGAATCCGCCCCGTTGGTTGGGATCCCGTGGGCGGTCGTTTCTGGCAAGTTGAGTGACAGCTTGGAGCATAGTCAGTTGGGCGAGTTCAATCTGACGTGAGCGCCTTTTCCCCTCGTGGTCAGTTCTCTCTATGTCCATGGATTGCGCATGCGCAGCATGTTTCTTTACATCCGCTAGTCGCGAGTCTTCCATTCCAGCAACAGAGCGCTGCACATTCATTTTTATGTCGGGTAATAGTCCATTCATGAAAGCATTCTTCAGGTGTGATTCCCACGTCCCCAGAGCGTCTCCTAACACGGCGGGTTGTGGAATGCCACTGAATGCCACAGAAGTCTTTGGTAGTAATCATGGACGGACTCACCCGCTGCCTGCTTGTTATTGTTGATGGGAGTCATATCCACTTTGTCAGGGAACAATGTCTTTATGCCGTCGCTCAAAGCCGTGAGTGCGTCTCTGTACGGCTTATTTTGATTTGAACTCCATTCAACGTCTGCCGCACTGGTGTCTCCTGCAACCAGCTGGTTGAGCTTCTGGTAGTGAGTCGGACCCACGTGACTCATTAGAACACGTCGAATTTCAGCAAAGTTGGGCAGGAATTGCTTACAGAAGTCCATGAATGCTTCAGCAAACAGTCTTCCCGAGTGCTGTATCGGCGGGAGATGAGCCATTGCAGCTCTAATGTCCGTATCAGTCCAAGGCCGGAAAACAAGTATGGGACCTGAGTGTCCTGGTACTTGAATCATTGGGGTTTGGAGCACAGATTTTCCATCCGGGGGAACTCCCTCTGGGTCGAAAGAGGGGGAAAAAACATCTGATGTAGATGGTTGCTCTGCAATCAGTTTGTTGATGGCAGAAGTGTCCCCTCCGGTTGCTCCTGGAGAGCGAGATCGAGTGAGGAGAGCAGCCTGTCTCTTTTCCTCCTCTTCGCCGAGGAGTCGTTCTTGTGCTGCTTTCACTGCCGCTTCCTTTTCCTCCCTCTGCCGGGTGTAGTGAACTTTGATATGTGCTCCTGCAGACGGAGGTTGCTGGTTCGCAGATGAAGCAGGGTACGGTGGTGGGCATGTGTTGAGGAGAGGGCCGCCAGCCCCTGTGAGACTCGGATACAAGGGAGAAGAAGCACATCGGTCATTTTGTTCAATAACATTTGGATCTGGTTTTTCAACCAATGTGGTTTTTGCGCATGTCAATTCTTTAGCCATTTGTTTCCTTTCTCTACATTCACATTCATCCTCCCACCATTTTAACCATTTACTTTGTTTCTCAATGTTCTCCAAGTCTTTGCCTTTTATCACCCTCTGAGTTTTTATATCCTTCTCTTTTCCCTCTAAGCCTGTTCGTAACATGTTCAGTTTTATTCTACTGAAAGAACCATTTGCAGGGAACCCAAAATCTTTTGACCACTCGGGCAAAAACTCTAGAGATTGATCTCCATATTTCCTTCTCATCAGATCCACAATGGGTCCCTCCGGAGAACCCATTTCCTTTTTACCTTTACCGTGTACACCACCCATCTTTCAGGCGTGGTGAAGTATACTTTTTATTACTTAAAATATAGTCGTCACTATAAGTCTTGATTTTCTTTTACGTAGGAAAAATACAAGTTAAAACCCAACCAGAACTATTGGTTAATAAATATAGGTCAAGGGCGCAAATATCTGTTTTCAGACTTCTGTCCGAAAACCCCGATATTGTTCCTGTCTTCCTGTTAGGTCAAGGGCTGAGATTTTGCGACTTCAATGAACTCTCAAAATCCCTCCTATCTTCCCCTTCGGTCAAGGGTCACAATTGTCAATTGCCCCTGTCTTCCCCTTTGGTCAAGGGTCACAATTATGCGTTTTCAGAGTGTTAGTCTGAATACAATCGTAAATGCGCACATTGCTCCCTGTCTTCCTCAGTAAAAAGTTGGATGCTGATGAACCGGAAATACTGTACAATTACTCTTATAATTTTATACACATTTTTCAAATAACCGGATAAAAAGACAAGTTATCATCATTAGAAGCCCAATCAAATAACCGAAATTTGGATTTTCTAAGAAGAGAGAGAAAAAATAATTTAAAAAAAATCCCAAAGTACTAAATACCCGTCTTTGTAATCTGTTATCACCCGTTATAATTCAGGAAGCCCCGTTTGAAAATCAGAATATCAACTTCTTACCCGATTCGTGTGAAAATCTTCCTCATCGGATCGTGTTGAAGCCAATCAGGTCTCTTTTGGTCGCCGGCCCCCTCTCTCTGAGTGTGATGAGGTATAGGGCAGAATCACGTTTGGTGGATCCTGAAGGGGCCCCTTCCCGGACGTCCTCGGAGTCCCGACGGAGCTTCAAACGATCCCACTTCTGACACCAAATTGTGGTGGAAGATTTTGCACAGACAATCGTTAAGTAAGAATCAAAGGCTCTGAGTCAAGTATGTCTTTTCTCCGTTTATTTCCTTGCAAGGGAAAAAAGGGTCACAACAGCTACGTGGTCAGTAGACTGTCAAGAACCTCCTTTTCTTCCCAACACATCGAGGCAGTTCTTATACCTAAACTTAGATATCGGTGGCGTCAACAGAAACCGTTAACCATCTTGTTGAGTCTCTACAGCCAGGGTACTGGGAACACCTTGTCAATGTGAGACACATCAGTTCTTTGACCGTGTCCTTGCTCTCCCAACATGCTTAAACAAAGGTGGTCATAGACATAACAAACACTTTGTTCAATCTCTACAGCTATGACGCTGGAAACATCTAATCCAAGTGGGAGACATCAGTTTGTATGTCAGGGCCTTTGTGACCTAAGCACTTGCAACTAATAAACTGGTTATACAAATGAAGCATTTAAAAGGGTCACATATCATTTTCCCATTACTGGTGAATTATCCGATTGGCTCTGGCCTGCTCAGTTCCTCGGTGGGTGACTTTGACTCCTTTGAGCAGGTGTTGGAGAACAAGTGGGCCAGTGAGCTGAAGCAAGTTACTGGCATTCAAAAGCACGAGTATCAACAGTGGGTCATCAGTCTGCACCAGGACCTGCAGAAGTCCAACAACAGCAGCCAAATCAAGTGAGTTCATCTGCATGTGTGTGTGTGTGTGTGTGTGTGTACACTCAGACAAAAGACTATGTCAGCCTGTTGGAGTCGTGGAAAAACTGAGGAATGATGTGTGTGTTTGTGTGGCATTGTCGGATTTAAATTCAGTTTAAATTCATATGTGATTCAGCATTGAGTCGATACTAACACTTAACACTTACATTAAGAAAAATAAGGTGATAAAAAGAGGGATCTAAATGATTAAAGCAACTTGTTAAGTTCTAAAACAGCCTGATTCTGACTAAATGGCTTTAGATTTGCTGCAGTAAAAGTCTTGACTCGAGGTCAAACTGACACTTAACTGACAGGATCTTACTTATTACTCACCTACTAATCCAAAACATGGCATGTCGACTGGCCCTTTTTATGTACATATAAACCGGTGTTGCATCTAAGTTGCACCAATGGTGAGCTTTATAACATCAGTTCGGTCCGGCATCGTTGGATAAGAAGTGCAGAAAGAATCGAATGACGGTTTGCGGTAATGTGGTCTGTTTTAAAGAGAGTGTTTAAATTCAGGTCTTACGTCCCTCTTCCATCAAAACACCGATGAATGCTAAGAGCTGCTCGGACAATGTGCTGACCCTGCATCAGTTCTCTCTCTTAATGATGAATATCATTATCTTGTTATGTGTTGGTGGAACTTCCAACTTCCAGATCAGCACTTTGTAATCAAGCATTGTAAAAGAATTCAGGCTGCAAATTTGATTCCAATTGAAGTGCTGAAAGCAAAAGTAAAATCCTTACCACATTTATAAATACATTGTTTAATATTTTTGAGTCGCCACGGGAAAACTGCTGCTGAATGAGTGCGATCGTCTTAAATAAATGTGCCTTATCCCTTTTAATAATGTGTTTTCCAGGCCTCGTAGGGGAAATCTTGCAAATAATTTCAAAGCAGTAAAAATAGATCTCTTTATTTCCAGTGAGGAGATTATGGTGCAGCACAGCCAGCAGTCGGAGCAGGCGGATTCCGAACCCAGGATGTTTGAGGAGCAGCCTCCGCTGAAGGAGAGTTGCACCATCCACTTAGGTGCTCCACTTCTAACACGCTCTCCGAGTCCTCGCGCAGAAACCTCAACGACAGTCTCCCCGAAACACTCGTATCTGTTTTGCTTTTTGGTAGCGCGACTCACTAAAATTCCTAAAAAAAAAAGAAAATTTAAAAAAAGCTGTATTGACGGGTGCTACGGGTCAACACGTGATCACTTTCCCGACCAGGAGCTCAACTGAAGACGATGCACAACCTGCGGCTGATCCGGGCCGACGTGCTGGACTTCTATAAGCACCGGCGGCACGGCAGCGGCGGCGCCAAGCTGAGGCGGCTGCAGACGGCCCTCTCGCTCTACTCCTCCTCCCTCTGTGGTCTGGTGCTGTTGGTCGACAACAGGGTCAACTCCTACAGCGGCATCAAAAGAGGTAGGGAGGGGGGGGGTTAGTTTGCTCATTTAAAGTGTTTAAAGAAGGGGGGTAGCACTCCTTTGATGGTATGCTTATAGACCAGGCGGTCCATTCTCCTTTTTAATTGTGGCTGTGTACCAACTTTATCTTCCCCCCCTCAGACTTTGCGACTGTCGCGAAGGAGTGTACAGACTTCCACTTCCCCTTCCTGGAGGCGCAGCTGGACGAGGTGCAGCAGGTGTTGCTCTACGCCAGAGCCCAGCGGAGCAGCAAGCAGAAAGAGCAGCCCGGTCCGACTTTTGCCTGCTCCACGACATCTGTAATCGAGACAGAACATTTAGAGAAGATCAGAATCCAGACTGAGGAATGTAGTTGATCATTCGTTTCTTTTTTTTTCTTTCATTTAGCCCGCCGTACCTCACACAAGGGTTAACTGATGTTGTACATCATGGCCATGATGCACGTGGTCGTACCGCCTTGGTTTAGCTGAATTCCTCTCAACATGGGGAGTGAGTCTGTGTAAATGTCTGCCTTGCAGCGCAGAATTTTATATAGGAAACAGTTTTTTTTTTTTACAAAGCTGGAACATTGGATTCAGCATAATGCCGGCAGTGTGAGCCGGGGATTAAATAGTCAGAAGGCAGAAGAAGACACTTTCCCGGGCTGCTATGTATAGAAACATCCTTCCTAAAGAGCAGCCGCCTCAGCCGTCAATGACATCATCATTTGACAAAATATTCGTACCAATTTTCATTGTATTTCTCAACCTATTTCCTCACAGAGACTCAGAGGAACGGAGGCGACGATAAGAGCAAAAACCTCGAAAGAAACCCATCCAACATCCTACCAGGTAGTAATGCTTGTTACATGTAGTCCTGGTCCCGGTTTTCAACTACAGGTTTTCTGCAGGTTCAGGAGCTCCACACAGATTTTGTAGAAATTGAGAGTACGGCAACTATGCACCAACCTGTTACACCTGAGCAATACGCCAACGAGCGAGCAGAGAAGTTCGACCCTTTAGACGAAATTAACGTGTAGAAAGTTTCAAATGAGAGAGTAAAAGAAATAAAGAATTGAACCAGTTGGCTTAATGAAATAAATAACTGACTCGCCGTTGGCCGCTCCATGTGACTGGAGTACGAAGGCGGAAACAACGAGAGTCCAGAGCTTAGGTTGATGGAGTCCCACGAGGTCAGGGGTCACGCTCAAGTCCTGATATCGGCCTGTTGTTGCCCGGCAGAAAACCTCCCCGGCTGCACGGGCCCTCAGCGATGGCCCTGAAGCGCCGCGTCCTCAGCTGTGACCTGGCTCATCAGCCATCATCTTATTACCCCGGTTCTAATCCAGGAGGCCAATGTAGAGGGTCGTGAACTCTTGTGTTTACCGAGGACCTCGGTGTGTGTGTGTGTGTGTGTGTGTGCAGCCGTACAAGCTCTCAGCGTCGGATCAAGTTCAGCAGAAGATGCCATCACAAATAGGGGAAATTATATGTGGGGGAATTAGAAAAACATTTTTTTAATTTATTCGTATTATTTGGCCAGCTGAAAAATTAATCAAGGCGCACATTCTTCCTCGTTCCTTAACTGAATTAAGATTGAAATATATTAAACTGAGAGTCTCACACGACGGGACGTACGTTTCATGAAGCCTCTACCTGGATCCCCATCATGCCACAACATTTCCATCCTTCTCCGGTCTAATCAAGAGTCGTTGTTTACGTAACCAAAAGGCTTCTAACTTTTGAAGCCCCCGGAGGAACTTTGATTAATAGCTTCTGGTTCCACATCAGAACTTTCTATTTGTCATCTTCCTTTCAGTCTTGTTTGCTGCTTAGCTGTGATTTAGGCCTGTCGGCACAAGCCTGCTCTTGTGTTTGGCATTGAAAACCCCACAGTTTATTTTGAAGAACTGTGGAATGCAAAAATAAGCCAACCTGACAACGCTTTTGTTCATCTTCCTGGTTGTAATTTACCAGCCTCAATAACTTGTGCGAGCACACCTTCCTTTGTAAAACTCCGGCCAAACGGTTGATTAGTTGTGTCAGATCGCCGCTGCTCGAGTCTGATGCAATTGATCTGGAGGGCAAACCGCTCAGTGGGTGACGGGCGTTCACACCGGTCCAATCGTGGGCCAGTTTGTTGACAAAGGAATGGCTGCAACACAGCGGATAACGAGAGTGTGCGTCTGTGAGTGTGTGTGATTGTGTTTGTGACTCTGCCTGTCTGATGTTGTGAGCAAAGGTTGGATGCAGCGATGACTCCCTGCTGAGGTCACTGTGTGAGAACCAGCAGTCTGCAAACAAAAGTGACTTCACTTAAACATTATTTGTGTGGATAGAGTCCACTTTGTGTTTGACTTAGATACTGTACGGACTACATATTAACTAATGTGTACTCAACTCAGACGAGGTGGGATTTTGTTTGATCCTCCAGCACATCTTTTGTGTGTCTCCCCTCGCCTCTCTGCAGGAGATGACCATCCCGTGGTGTCTAAAGAGAGCAGAGCTTGTATTCAAATGTGTCAAAGGTGAGATGGACATCCAACAACATTTTCACCTGGGAAATAATTTTCCTGAGCTTGTACGCTCCCTCAAATATGATCACCGTTAAAGCGGCAAGTGACATTGCCACTTGGACGCGTTGGTCCTTAGCCTGCTGTGTGTTGGTGCCGCTACGGCAGCATTTTACATGGCAAGAAATAACCAAAGAAATATATAAACACGCACGATTTATAATAAATTGTTGTCAGATTGAGATAAGCAGAGAGCTCCTACATACAAACGTACTGCGAATAACTGCTTCAATCTGCTTCTGTCTCCAGGGTTCATGATGGAGATGGCCTCATGGGATGGAGGAATATCACGCACAGTCCAGTTTCTAGTGCCAAAGGTGAGAGGCGAACGTCCCCTTCCTCCCCGGCGTGTTTTCTGTCTCAAAACTCTTTGCCGAGACGATGCGCTATCGTCCTTCCGAGCAATAAATCTGCGCTTCTCTTTTTGTGTTGACAGAGTATCTCCGAGGAGATGTTCTGCCAGTTGAACACCATGCTGCCTCAGATCTTCCGTCTCCTCCACCCTGACGCTCACCTCAAAGCACTGAAGGGAGCGCGTTGCCCTTTTTTCAGGAGCTGTTGACTTAAGTAGTGACGATTTCCTGGCAAAGTAGCACACGTGCCAAAAAAGAAAAGGAAAAAAAAGAGATGTAGACAAGCAACGTCTGGTGAGCCTCGTTATTTTTGCACCTTCCAAAGCCACCAACGCTGTAAATCCTTCTCATTCCAGTCAGTCAGTGGCTCATCTCCAAAACAGCTGTCGCAGTTTTCATTTTGAGCCTGGATCACTCTTTTTGTGTATTTGTATCTGTGTGAATGAGTGCGTGTGTGTACGTCTGTAAAAGCAGATGGCAGTGTTCCTGAAGACAAAGATGCAACTCACACACTTCTCCCTGCACAAGAGATTTAAAGATGTTAAGTTTAAAAAGAATGTCGTCCGACCCTTGAATTTCATGTTCGTCCTCATGAGCCGCTTATATTTTCTGTACATTCACTCTATATGTTTACATTTTTAATGTTTGAATAATAAAACGCTCTCCACACGGATTTGATGTAAATTCGTCATGAAAGCCACTAAAAGCTCACGACAGACTTTCCCATTTTGGCTGGTGAGCTTTTTTCTCCCCCTCTGCCAGCCACGTACAGCTAGTGGCGTTTGATGAGTTATCCACAAGCACACAATCCCTCTGAAGTCATTCATTGAAATTACATCGCTCACTTATTTAAATTAAATCACTGCACTGCTTAATGAATCAAAGCCATGATATTTAATAAACAAGCAAACTGAATTTATCTTAGAAACCGCACCCGCCACAAAAAGTTAAATGAGGACAAATGAATTATTCCAGGTAATGACTCATACCCAGAACGAGTGGAATAGTCATTTTAATGTTAGTTGCCGCCATAATTTATTGACTATTTTATGCAACGACGTCACAGGTATCACTACCGGACGTAGCAAGGTTTCGCTTCATGAAAATAAAAGTCGTGTGTGATCATCATGGGGCACTTTGAAAACAACACAAAAATGATGTGCGTGTCTCCGTTTGGTCAAGCGTGTACATATATTACAGCATTCGTTTGTTTTGGGGTCCCTTGAGTTATTAAGATGCTATTAAGTCAGTCTGATCGCGGGGCCCATTTAACTTTGAAAAACTGAAACCGGAAGCTGCGGCTGTGATCGGCGCTCGCTTGACAGCAGTTGTCACAGCTGGGTATCTGGCTCTCCGCAAGTTGAGCAACAAGCGTTACGTCGAGAGCAGAGCGACTTGCCGCGCGGATCTGCCGGAGCTGCGCTCAACTTGAGGTGAAGTTGGATTCAGGAGAGCCCTCCAACGACGCGTCGTCCACCGGTATGAACTTGACCGACACGGCCTCTCGTTTAGCATCGTTTCCTGTGAGTGACGAATCCGACGCGGTACTTTTGTAACCGTAAGCGTCGCTGCGTGGGTTGAAACGTATTCATCGTAATGTGGCTGGCTGCCTCTTGACCGCGTCGAAACCTCAGCAAACCCCCGAGACACCTGCTTGTGTCCCCGGTGCCGCTGCGCACTGATCCGTGCGACGCCAAAAAAACGGTGATTTAAAAAACAAAAACATTTTAATGATTGTTTTTTTTTCATGAAAGCGTGCGGTTGTGTCGGTCTGAAAGGTGCAGCCTGTGGTCCAGCGGCGTGGTGCTTTCTGGAAGTCCCCCCCGCAGCCCCCTTACCTTGCGCTGTTCGCCGGACTCCGTGCGCGCACTGAACCGGTGCCAGGTGCCATGGTAGCAGAATAACTGCACCATCACAACGGTCCCTGCGAAACGCCTCCTCCTCCTCCTCCTCCTCCTCCTCCTCCTCCTCCTCGCTGTTTGCATCCCCCGGTTGGGTTGTTGTGGTTTCTGGGAACCAGGGAAGCTTTGCTGCTTGCAGCTGCGAACACTATCAGGTATTGTATTGTATTGAATTTGAGAAAACATTTTTAGTGTGCTAGCCTTCACATTTCTACTGTGGATAAGCAGGCGGGGATCTCTTTGGTTTGGAAGCAGTCCTCTCTTGTTGTAATCCGCAGTGCAAAGCAGGAATATATTCCAGCTGTTCAGTCCCAGTAGAGTAACAGCAGGCACATTTCTATTTAAACTCTTGGATCAATCGTTGCCTGAAACGATCCACTTAGTGGCTTACTGTCCATACGTCACTTTATTATTGTTATAGCCCAGTGTTGTAAAAGTAAAGAAGGATTTTGACTTTCTTACAGTTCAAAAAAAGGAAAGTCTTAAAAAGCTTCTGTTGCCTTAATGTTTCTACACTTACCTTTGGGTTTGTCTACTTTTTAAAGCCTCTCATCTGAATCTCTAAAGGATACAGTGGGTTTTCAAGTAGCCTAAACTTCTCTCGAAAGCTGCAGTTAAGAGTTTCCGTGTGTGTGTGTGTGTGTGTGTGTGTGTGTGTGTGTGAGAATCAGTTTTTTTTGTATTACACCCTCCATGATTGAAGACCACATTAAAGGGGAAGAGGATCAAAAGGTTAAACAGCTCTAACCCACGACAGAGGGACTTTATTGTCACGATGGCCGTGACAACACACACAAAGACCCCCCCAATCCAGAGCCCTCGAGTGTTATTCATTCCACCAGGGGAAATAGACTCTCCTCCCTGAACCCTGTTGGGCACCTCCTCCTCATCTTTTGTCTTCGCCTTTAAGATTCAGTCTACTCAACAACCGGCCGTCCTCGGCCTCCTCCTCCACAAACGGGTACGACGTCCTCTTTTTGTCTCCCAAGGGGAGACGCATGACCCCCCTCCCCCCCTCACCCCCCAGAGCGGCTTCTGATGGATGCTGCGTGGTTAGACCTCTTGTGCCCCCCACCCCGGAGAGGACACCAATCTGTTTTGACGTCAAAAGTTTGGACGCACCTTGAACGAGGACGGCGGCGGGTGGGTGGGAGGGCCTCGCTCGGGTTGTCACTCAATCAAGCGAGAAGGTGCGTCCAAACTCTCGACTGGTACCGTTGGTCCTCTCCGGTTTGGCCTGTAAATCGCTCCTTGCAAAATGTGTGTGGGAGCTTTTTGGCTTTTTTTTTTTTCTTGAGCAATCATTTTGTAATTAACACCTGAATGCGCATTAACACAATGATGTGGTGCGTGCGAAAGAGCTTCCGCACGCAGTCACACAGTGAGTAATGGGCTGATGTGAGTGGCGTTCATTCGGTGTGACGGGTGATCATCTCTCCCCCGTTATGACGCGGCTCTCGGCGCTCTTTGAAGTGTGGGACCCTGCATATTCTAAAAGACGCCGCCGCGCTGGCTTTCATGTGAGCGAGCTGGAAGGGATGCTGTTGACTGTCGGAGGGCGACCTTTTGATATGCGAGACGCTCCCGCGCCTCGGGGAGAGGTTCCAGCTTACGATTTCAGTCAACATCTGTGCGAGCTCTTTGAAGCCCACTGCCGCCGCGTTAGTGTTCGTGTGATTGGGCGTTCGCACGCTGGGTCAACGGCAAACGCCGTCCCGTTTGTGGACTGCATTGCCATGGAGCAGCCTGTCGGAGGGCCAGAGGAAGCGAGAAGACTTCTCCTGATTGCACGCCTCTTTTGCCGACGATTGACATTTGTTATTTACGCGCAGGGTAGACTTCCGCCTTTTTTGCCGCCTTTTTTGCCGCCGTTTGTGGGTTGGGCCACGCACGGGGATAGAAACTTGCGGATTTGAATGTTTTTAAAGGGAAGGCTTCATTAAATGGAAATGCGTCTGCCGAGCACTCCGTGGCCGTGGGCAGGATGTTTACTAAAATGTTTTTTCGCGTTGTGCGCTCTCCTACGTGGAGGGTCACGGCGGGTCACGTGTGTGTGGGTGTGTGTTAGTGTGTGGTTTCGTGCCTTCCTGTCCGTGCTGCTGGTTGCAGAGAAAGTTCCATCTTCGCCATCTGGTTTGACTGGGACGTTAATCATTGTGCCTTTTAGGGCTGCTACCGCTTCGACAACAGCTGGAAAATGGACCCGTCGATGTCCATCCGTCCGTATTTCTGTCAGTCCCGCTCTGTAAACTGTATCCGTGCAGCAGCAGGGTTCATGACCTCGGTGATGGAGGTTTCTTGAAAACAGCCTGGAAAGGCCTCGTCGGCTCCATTTCCGCTTTCCGAAATGTCTTTCTGCCCTCAGCTTCCCTAGGTTCACTGACTCGCCTTTTTATTTTGAGAAACTAAGTGCTAGTTCATGCCTGCCACATCCCAGGGCGCTCCCCCCCGTCCCCACCCCCCCAAAACTGTCACGTGTGTGTGTGTGTGTGTTTTTACGAGAGTGGCTGTTCATGTTCGGCCCCCTTGTCGAGTGATCCTGTACCTACAGACTTGTAAAAAGTTTGCGTTTTGAGTGAAATGTATGTTTTTTTTGTTTTAATTTACTGAAGTGTTCGATCAAATTTAAAGTTGTATTTCTTATTATGTGGAATGCTGTAATATCAACATCTTTTGCATCTGCAAATGCAGTTGATACAGACCTTGTGGTTCCGATCGCCGTCAAAATCATGGCTTAAAGTCCATCGACTTTTCCAAGCTTGTTAATGTCGCACATTTCCCCTCTGGTGAATAACGCGTGTCCTGCAGTGAGGCTCCTCTTCGGGAAGCAAGCAAGTGCTGCTCTGCACGTTAACAATGGCGGTGTAATGCTACATGATTACTTTAGTGAATTAATATTTTCCTCTCAATATATGAACTGAAAAATGCAGTTTTGCTCCTTTTTCTCTTTTTTAAATGGCCGGTTTCCATTTATTTTGTAGGTTTTATTTCATCCAAATCTGGTGATTCTTCATCTCATTGCTGTTCTGGGAAAAGAACATTTGCATGATCGACATAATGTTGCAGGCATTGCTGTTTAGACTTTTGGATAAGATCGTAAATTAGAGAGGATTGCTGCATCATTATTTGACAGCGCTTCTGTTGTGGACTTTCCTTTTTAATCCATTATTAACTGATAATATCACCATGGAAACTGCATTCTGTGTGGAAAACCCTGCATTTCACGCCAATACATGTCAAATTTCCACTTTAAAAAACATATCGGACCTGGCATTTGTTTCTTGACTCAACTCTTTTGGTTTGAGCTTATTTTATCAGACCAAACATTTGTAAAGCAGTTCTCAGCCAGCTGAGTAATCTCAGAGGGGATGTAGTATCCCGTGGGCCTCTTGGCGCGCGCGGCTTTATCAACGGCCCCATCACTTCATCACCACGTTATCGGACAAGACAAGTGATGGCATTCTTAAACTCAAGGAACCGACTAGAAGAGGCCTGGACAGTCCATGCTCTGTCAGAGGACAGAGGACTCGTGGGCATCGTTAAACGCCCGGTCCTCTCGTCGGGTATGTAGGGTACCTCCGCGTTTATTTATTGGCGTCACGTATTTGCTTAAAGGTTAATTTGGCATAGGCGCGCACACAGTGAGTGATTGATCTTTTCCGTCCCACCGTCCGCCCCGCGGGTAATGTGGTTGGCATATAGGCTCTCTGCTGGATCCCAGGCCACGATGTCCGAGAGCAGCGGCCCTCGAGTTCTATTTCTGACACACCATTTTGGCTTCATCGAGGCAGAGAGCGGTGTGTCGTAGCTTATTATGGGCACGCAGGGGTTTGGCCGGCCCTCGCAGGAGCCGTGCCATGTGGGAAAAAAATGGTGTTGTTGACTGCATACTTCATTGTGCGGACTTCAATCTGGTTATCCTGGTGCCGAGACAATGCAAACCTTCTCTTTCCCTTTTTCCCCCCCCGCAAGCGTGGTGCTTGTTGGAGATATGCGTATTTGTTCTCGAGGCGGGCGGCGGCGCTCTGGCCAGATAACGCACACTTGCCAACTCTTTCAAAGGAAGGGCAATGTTAGTTTTGCGTGAGCTTATCCAGATTTATCAGAAACAGGCGCGGTGTCGGGGCGTGAGACGTCATTTGGCGAGTTAGGACTCCGAAGTCCTAGGCGAGTTTGAGATGCTCTGGCTTTCTCCGTCTTCATATTGATCTGCCTCTGGGCTCCAGAAATGGGGATTGCTTTAAGCCGGGCCGTAGTCTAATGACATTACTCCACGCCCCCCCCCCCCCCCCCCACACCTAATTAAAAGTTATCTAATTAAAAGCTTTTCTATAGAGGGCTAGTCTTGGCCACCAGGCGTGGGGTACAGAAATGGCAGCCTGCCGGGGGTTGAGTGATTGTGTGTATGTGTGCGTCCATGGACAAGCGCTCATGCGGTACCGTAAGCCGGACTGAGACTGGGCTGCGGGGGGGCAGAGGGGGGGTAATGAGAGAGGTGGGGCGGCTGCCACTGGCCTGAGACAGCTGAACATGATACTGGGTCAGGGGGTACAAAGCAGAACCTCTAGGGAGTTGTTACAGATGGAGAGGAGGACGGGTCGGGGAATGGTGTTGCTGTTAGACGATGTCTGTTAATTTGTTTTGTCTCCAAGTATAATATTCCAGGTCAGAGTTTTAATTTTTGGGAGATGGATACGGACAGAAGGTGACAGAATTCTTCTAGTGCTGATTTCCCCAGTTCCCACCTTAGAGGCTGAGGCACACGGGGGAGGGAGGGAGGGATGCAGAGGAGGTGGGCTAAATGAGAGAGGAGGGAACAGGGGAGATGCAACGAGGCAGCAGGATGAGAAAGAGTCTGACTCCGGGAGCATCGAGTCAAAGCAGGTGGTCAAAGGAGCCGTGTGCAGATGTGCTTTGCAAGTGGAGGGTGTCGATCGTAGGAAAAGTACGAGATGCTCAATCTCCAGATGTGCGTGTCTGTAGTTGGACCTTTTTTGGAGCTTTGCTTCAGTGGCAGGTGAGTC